TGCTGCATTCTAGCTACTGTTCAGCTGAACTCCTTGGCTTAGAAATATTATATAATCATACAGGATAGAAAGAGCTGTGTAAAGTTAACAAATACCCATTTTTTTCAACTTGTGCAGCTCAAGAAGGTGGACAATGTATGCTCAGTCTCTGCCAATCCTGACTAATTAAATTAAATTAGCCATGATGGCACTGGCCCTATAGTGATAGGAGGAAATTAATATCTCTTTAAGTGAGGGATCTGTTGTACAATCTTTATTGTAAAAGTCTTCTGGGAATTTGTTAAGAATATGTAATTGATTGTATGCATGAGTCACTCAGGCCTTAGTCACTTCCTGCTTGGCATACTGCCACATGCTGTACATGGGATTACCCTTGAAGACAGTCTGGAAGCTGTACTTGGTCCAGCATGCAGTACCACATGGTTCACCCAAAGTACACCAACTGGCAGGGCAAGTTACTATATATGCACAAGGAGCAAACCAGTGGTGGGATTCAGCCAGTTCGCACCTATTCGGGAGAACCAGTTGTTAACTTTCTAAGCAATTCAGAGAACCGGTTGTTAGAAGAAATCTTATTTTGTTTTTTCCCCACTTTACAGGGCTAATCCTGTAAGGAAGGCAGGAAAGAAACATTCTAGCTTTGTTTCTAGCCTAATCTTTATTGCTTACAGAAACTGCCTCTCTGATTAACCCTTATTACACTGTAACAGCTAAGGTGAAGCGCCCATCGACCTGAGTGACATTGAGTTGGCCACACCCACATGTTCACATGACCATCAAGCCATGCCTGCTCAGCTGGTCATTAGAGCAGAGAACCAGTTGTTAAATTATTTGAATCCCACCACTGAGCAAACCCCACATTCACTAAGACTGATAATGTTGCCTAGTCAGGTAATGAAATAGCTACAAGCAAACAACTAAGCTCAGAGAGCACCAAGGACTCCACAGAGGCAAGGTTCAAGGTATAGGAAAGAAATGAGGAACAGAAACACAGATTATCTCTTTGAAAGCAAGAAATTTCACTGTTTATTCAGACAACAATTTAACTTTGAGGTCTGAGTATCTTCAAACAAATATTTTTCTTTCTACAGTTTTGGTCTTCAAAAAAGAAATCTTTTTGTATTCCACCATTAACTAAGACAGAGAGGGCAACTTTTTGGTGGACAGGACCACATTTATAGAGAGGGCCAGAATCATAGTTGAGTAGACATTTATGCAACTGGGAAGGACATGTCAAGACACACATTAGGAGGTGGATTTTCTGTTTCTTCCTTGGTTTTGGTAAAGGAAGCTTGAACATTTTCTTTGTTATAGATCAGAAGCATTCAAATATTTCTCATTTTCTCCCCTTCCTTCAGGAATACTACATTTTGCCATTGTTGAGTTGCCTAATAATAAAAAGGGAATTTTATCATAGTGAATAAGTCTAGGAAAGGGGGAAAAACTGCATGTCCTCAATATAACCTTAAAATCCTAACATGTTCCCAAGCATTTCACAACAGAAAATATATCTAAGATATTCACAATTGCAATGTATCATTCTTGCAAGATTCGTTACAATACCTAGCTCACTCCTTTCATCCCGTTTATCTCAATTTTTAATACAATGATGCCCCATGGGATTTTCCAGTTTGCAAGGGATTAGTATAATTAATGAGGCATGCTTGCCTAACACACAGTCAAAAAATACATTAGATAGTAGATTGCAGAAGGGCAATTTTTAAATACATGCAATATGGTTTTAGGATGAGAAATTGGTATCTAATATACAGTTTGATCCTGGAAAGAAAACTTAGATAAGAAAACTGCCCTTTTCCAGTCACCTGAACTTATCAGGAAGGTCTTCAACTAACTACAGAAAATTGACACAACCTTAGAAGCAAATAAATAAACAACCAGCAGGTTCATTGATTGCGGCAGGCTTCTTTCCTCTATTCTTTTAGGAAATATCCAGTCCAATACCCCCAAAATGTCTGAAGTCCCTTTCAGTAAATTTTTCTGGTGATTCAAATTAGGGTTGACTCTGTAAACTCAAGGGAGATTGTACTGATCCTTTAGGCAAAGAGTAGGAATGTAACCATAATAAATGAATAGCAAGTCCCAACTTGAAAGATTATCTATTGTTACCTTAAAGATGTTTTGAAATCTGCACTAATGGGTATATGTGCTAGCTGGGAGTCTTTTTGTGTCTCTTTACTAGTCTCTAGTCATGTATTCTGCATTTAGCTCTGATCCCATCTTAGCAAAATGGGTAGCTATATAGCAAAGTAGGGAATTAGATTACTGCATCATCTAGGTTTCTCTTTCTTTTCACCACTCTTCCTTATAGCAGTGTTAAGTAATTTCCCACCTGCTGATGGTTAAAGAGATAGCCACATACGGTGCACATCAGTGCTGTTCAATTAAGTCTTAATCCACTTCAAAATAATCCATGATGACTGCCAGTTGATGTGTTAATGGCTGCTCAAGGTGCCTTTGCAATTGCTGCCTTGGGTATGGAATACAGAGGAGAAGCAAGGGGAGTTACATTAAGGGAACTCTAATTGGAATGAGCACTCCATCTTGTATCGCTGAATTCCACCTTCCTGTGATTACTCCTTATGCAGCTTTCTGCTTTCTCCCCAACCTTACTGCTGGAAGAAAAGGCTGAAGCTTGATCATTCCTTCTCTACGTTGCAAGTGAGAAGAGTAAGATAGCACCTGCAATTCTGTTTGGTACTGGTGATAATGCACTGATTGGTCAGGTCTTAGGAATGGGAATATCCCAGGGTCATATTTCCAACTCATACCTTGTCTCTGTGGCATCGGAAGCACTATTTTTGTATTGTCCTGGGCCTTATGGTAAACAAATAGCTCCTGTACTCTACATCAGGGAACCCCAACCCTTGATCCGCGATGCCAGGCTACAGCCGATTTGGAACCGGGCCAAAGCAGCATGTGCATGCAAAACCCTCCCCTCACTGTCCACTGAGCCGGAAAGGTTGGGGAACCGCTGCTCTACATCTTCACAAGCAATTGTAAGTTTGGACTAGTGGTTAGGAGACTATCTAGTCCCATTTTGGGATGAAACATTTGCTGGGTGATTTTGGACGAATCACTCACTCACTCACTCACTCTCTCTCAGCCCAACTCCTGTCATGGAGTTATTATGGGGACAAATGGGAAGAGGAAGGAGTATTATCACTACCCTGAATTATTTATGAACAATAAGAAAGGAAGGATAAATATCCAAGAAACAAGAACAAATTAAATTCACAACTTTGCTTCAAGACTAGTGACTTCTTGCCACTTTCATTAGTATGATGGAAGCAGCACTATGGTGCAATCTGAACCCTTTTAGGGCTGCAATGCCATGATGCATGTAGAAAAAAGGTGAGGTCATGATGCTGCTTGTGCTTAAGTCATAAAAGTGGCTGGTTTTTAGTTGCACATATTGTCTGTACCCAGCCCGTCACCATCCATTAAGGCAAAGCAGAATCGCTTGAATCAACCTTTTGAATATGCATCTTAGAGATCCCTATTTCTAAGACATAAGGCAGCTGTTATTGGTTATGCCTTAAAATCTAAACATTACCCTTCCCATCTCTTGTGTCATTTCTAAAATCCAAATGACTGGCAACAGGCTATTTTCGGCGACCATGGAAAACTGATTAAGAAATGAGGGGGCTTCCCAACAGACATTGTGTTTCAGGGAAAGGATTAACACCTCATACACCTAGCAACAGACAGAGGCATTAAGCTGTGACAAGATAACAACACTTGGCAGTCAATAAACATTATATCCAAGAACAGCAGGAGAAGGCTATAAGCAGACAATACTTTAAAACAATATGGAAAAAGGAAACAAGAAGGAATGACTAATGCTATATGGGGAGTGGGAGTGGGGTGGAAAGGAGTGACCAAGGTTATTACGGACAGGAAAAATCCCAGCACTGCAACTTTAAATCCAAGTTGGCAAGCTGCACAAAATACCCCTCTGCAATTTAGCTATCAATCAGCCCTGCAAAATGGAATGCAACAACAGTATCAATAATAATTCATTACATCTATGTTATTAAATATATGCTTAGGCAAGCCTACATTCATGCACTATCCTTTACTGGGAGGGACCGATTCAGAATGGAGAGGTGCCTCTGCAATCTACAGCTCGGCCTGGCTATGCTAATGTTGAGAGAAGATGGAATCTGTTCTGCAACTTCCCTGTGATGAGAATGGATTCTTCCGCATAAAAAAATGAGGAAGAAACTGACTTGTCCATACTAGTCATTTCCTCTCAAAGACTGCCTTTCTTTTTCCAATATGCATCCATCTTCTCCAAGAGACAAATTCAAGGGAGTCACTGACAAATTCCTGATCACAGTTGCTGAAGTTACTGTTCACAGGCCCCATGCAAATCCTATCACTTTAATGCCACTCTGCTGTTCCAGCACTTTGTTTGAAACCAATTATCAGTCTAAAGGATCAAGTTATCTTACAATATGTCTAATAAATTAAGAAGCCTAGAATTATTCCTTGGGTTGTTTTTTTCCTTTAGGAGACAAAAAGTCCACAATAAATTACACTAGAGGCCCATGAGCCAGAAACAGCCCGCTGAAAACTTTGGATGAGATCTCAAGCTATGCCCCCACCAATTTCCAGAAATGCAATTGCTGTCGATAAAAAATAAAATAAAATTAAATGCACCAAAATTAATTGTATGAACAACACTGAATTCAATTCTGGAATTTGAACCAAATTTAAACAGGTAGCAATTTTTGATGTTGAGGAAAAGGTTATGCAACCCTCAGTGGTAAGGTTTGCCATAATGCCTGGGTCTCTACACTGTAAGTAAATGGGATGCATTTAGATTTTCCCCCATCAGTCCTCATGCAGATGAACAGAAAAAATGGGACTTCTAACAGTCAGTTAGATTCCACAATGCTGCAGCAATTTCGCGAAGACTAGTTCAAAGCAAAATGTATCATACATTTTTATATTCCTGATTTTAGGTTTTTACTTACAGGGCACTCAGTAATATTTTGACTCCAGAGGCTCATATTGGAGCTGTCCTCAATGGTTGTGCATCGCTTTTGCTTTTTATCCCAGCCACAATATGGGTCCCTTGCACCCAGGCAGTCTCTGGTGGGGAAAGAGAAAGAGATTGGTGTTCTTTCATTGACCAGAAGTTCTAAAACTAATTATTCACACTCACACTTTCTTATACAACAGTTGTCAAGTATCCCGATTTGCAGCAGCAGAAACAAATTTATTTTAGAACAAAGTTTCACCTGTAAGGAAGGTTTCAAAATGGCCATAAAGCAGGCTAATGAAAGCTACTATTTCTCCCCAATAAAAACAAACAAAAATCCCTATCTTTTTCACTATTATTTCAAACCCAAAAGATAATAAAGTGCTGCTTTGCCCATCTAATTAAAGAATAAATAATAATATTGTAAATACTGTAAATAATAATATGCAGAATCCAATTTCCTACAAAATAAATATATTTTGGAAAAACCACTTACAAAGGTTAGATAAACGTAAAGAACAGGGATAAACCAATAGAAAAATATTAGTTTTTTTAAAAAATACAATAGTTGCCTTTATAATGTAACATTATATAAGCAATTTGTAATTAATCTCTTTTAAATTAAAAAATGGTGCTCAATGGTGTGTTTATTTATGTAACTATTGGGGTCCATTTTTAGCCATTTTTAATTAAAGAAAATAACTGGTTAAAACTTTCAAAATATGGTAAAAGTCACAGGCCAAATTAGATCTTATTTAGGTGAGCAATGCCCGTACACTTTCAGTCTGGAATGAATCACTTCTGACTATGGTTAATATGTTGTAGAAAGTTTTAAATTGAATCCAGATGCTGCCAAAGAAGACTTTTCATCTACCTTAACTGCAATAAATTTGAAGCTGGTATTTAGAGCCACTTATAAATACATTGTTGGCTAATATAAGTTAATGCTTTCTTTACCCATTTATACAAGTAATCTACAGTAGTCAAAGGGACACGGTGGCCCAGTGGCCAAGATGCTGAGCTTGTCGATCAGAAAGGTCGGCAGTTTGGCGGTTCGAATCCCTAGTGCTCCGTAATGGAGTGAGCTCCCATTACTTGTCCCAGCTTCTTCCAACCTAGCAGTTTGAAAGCATGTTAAAAATGCAAGTAGAAAAATAGGAACCATCTTTGGTGGGAAGGTAACAGCGTTCCGTGTGCCTTTGGCATTTAGTCATGCTGGCTACATGACCATCAAGACATTTTTGGACAGTGCTGGCTCTTCAGCTTTGAAACAGAGATGAGCACCATCCCTTAGAGTCGGAAATGACTAGCATATATGTGCAAGGGGAACCTTTACCTTTATAGGAACATATTCAGGAATATTTGAAAATCCATGAGTTGGTACTAAAAATGAAACAGCTTGTCTCGAACAGCATAGTACAACCTATACCATACCCACCAATGCCAATTATTACCATTTATACCATTAATACCAATATTAATCAACACCACCTCTTACCAAAAGTATCACTTTCCTTCAGTTATCAAGTTAAGTGTTTTCTTTTATGGGTCTTCAAAAGGGATCCCTACTTTGTAATTTAGGCACAATCTCTCAGCAGTTTCAAATAAAGAGCAAAAAGAAGCAATACTCTACTCTGTTGCCCTTGAGGAGCTCTGCGGCTAAACAAAACACAGTAATGGAAGAAGTAAGGAGAAATGGTCCTTCTGTGGCAGCTCAGTTCAATCATACCTATCAAGGATAAATAATGGTGTAGGAAAAACTCCGAAGTTCTCAACCCAAGGACTCTGAAACAAATGTGTGTTGGTTTTTTTTTGAGGGGGGGGTAGACTGATATGTCAAGCTAGGTCACCCTATGTTGTTCTAATCCACAGTACAGAGTAAATTAGAACAGAATAAAGGGGAAAGCAGTTGCTGGAGCCACTGACCAGACAGATCAGACAAAGAGAAGCAGCATAACCAAACAGGCCTTGAAGCATGAAGTAACATAGTTGTTCCAAGACAGAATTACTTGGCTCTTTAAGGTAGAAGGAAAAATTAGTAGAGAAGTGAATAAATCCCACTAAAAAATCCCAGCCATCATAGAGAAAATCTATCCATATGGTTGCAAAAAGTCACCACAAAATTTAATGGCACATATTGCAGTAGCTTTATACAATTCGTTAAACAGACAAGCCCATTGAGCATCCAAGGGAGGGCAATACATATTTAAAAAAATGAGTTGGTACTAATTAAAAAATAGGAAACAGAACAGAGCACATCCGAGCAATTTCAAATCTTAAAGCAAAATCAAGGATTCCCAAGTATAACATTTCATACTACTTATTTCTCCTTGGAAGCTGCAAGGCAGAGGAAATCAGAATAACTCTTTATAGTTGTTTTATGGGGTCAGCCACTGTATCTTAAAAATTATAATTGTCTTAATGTGGAGAAGCAGATTAAACTTGGGTGAATAGTAAAGCACAAATATAGCACAAAGGTGTCGGAAAATCATGGCTAGAATGTCAGTTTCTAATTTAAAAACCCATACTTTAAAAACACAGGAGATAACACTTAAACAAGCATCATAGAATAGGCATTCCACATCCTTTTCACACAGAAAAAACATTCCAGACATAATAAAATAAAAAAATTCTTTGAAAATAAAATTAATATGCTTTTAAGTTAACTTATTCATTGTGGGCAAAGTTGCAATCAGTGAAAATGTTATTAAAACAATGAATCTAAGCAACTCAGTCTTGCTTACAGCAGACAAAACATCAAGACTTTATTGATTTAAAAGATTTGCATGGCTACCTGTCAGAGCAAAACTCCGAGTGGATCATAATACCCCCTTTCCCCTCAAAATAAAACCCAATAAAGCAAAGATACAAGCACCTCAGTCATTCTCCTGGAATGTTCCCGTCAGCCAAGTCCAAACACCCTAATTCTAACCCAGCACCTGGAGGAACACCCAATTCTTTATAATCTTTGGAAAGGCTAAAATGATGGGGGCGCACTGGATTGCTAGGGGAAGGGTCTTCTGCAGAGCTATTGAAAAGACACACTTCCTAAGCCACCTAGGTGGCAATATTTAAGAGAAGGGACCTAGAGCATGCCCACTTGGGTGGGTGACCAGATATCCTCAGGGAGAGGCAGTCCTGGCCCCAAGCCATGTAGATATTTACATGTGATAATCAACACTTTGATTTGCACCTGAACAGAAGCTGGCAGCCAGTGCAAGCTAATAATCTAAAATTAAATCATCACTTGGCATTGTAAAAAAATGGTTTTGGGGACATCTCAGTATTCTAGCAACCACTAATTTTATGCAAGCTGTAGGGAGCTCTAGTGTATACCAATTATCTTTGTTTGGGGCTCATAATAGCAATAGCAATAGCAGTTAGACTTATATACCGCTTCATAGGGCTTTCAGCCCTCTCTAAGCGGTTTACAGAGTCAACATATTGCTCCCACAGTCTGGGTCCTCATTTTACCCACCTCAGAAGGATGGAAGGCTGAGTCAACCCTGAGCCGGTGAGATTTGACCCGCTGAACTGCAGCTAGCAGTCAGCTGAAATGGCTGCAGTACTGCACTCTAACCACTGCGCCACCTCGGCTTTAAAAGATTTGCTTAGGGTTCAAGCTTTTCAGATGAATGTTAATTTCCTTTTACAAAGTGACCCTCCTCAGGAAGTAATATAGGTTTGTTACCCTAAAGCAATTTAGAAATCAATTTTTATACAGGAAATCACAAGATGTGCACACATGTGCAATATTTTCTAATTGGTCTCCATAAGATTTTACAGAATGAGATATAGCTTCTTAGATTTAGCATCTACATTGCTGCTATTTGGTGTAGTGGTTCAAGTGCTTGCCTAGAAACTAGGAGTGTGAGTTGTAGTCAGGGGTGGGTTGTTGCCAGTTTGCTTTGCGCATGCTTCGCCAGTCTTTGGGCCAGTCACAGTCTCTCAGCCCAGCCTAACCCACCCTACCCAATCTACAAAAATATGTGATGCAGTCTCTGCTGTGAATTCTAGTATCTATTAACTTAAGCATGAAAGCCAACTCAGTGACTTTGGGCCAGTCACTCTCTCTCAGCTCAACCCAACCCAATGTCAGGCCTGCATTTATATTCCTTTTAGAATTTTGGCCTGCCACACTTTCTCTAATTTCATTATGCTGTTTCTTTAAGTATAGTCAATGGGAGCGGGGAATAGAAGGAGTAGGATTTTGGAATGTATTGTTTTTCATTCTTTACTAGAAGCAAGGTCATCCTTTGTCTCCACATCAGTACACCTGACCGGAAGAAGCTGGGCATGGACGCCAGCGTGGAAGAAGGAGATTGGACCATGTGATGGACTGTGGGTATGAGGACAAGATCATGAACTTTTAACTGGGTGGGATTCTGATGTAACTTCCAGAATTGGAATCCCCACAGCTATGTGCCAACATGCCTGCTTTATTAAATTGGAACTTTAATCATTGCCTTCCACTCTGATTTAATTCTACATGGTATTTGGAACGATGACATCCAACCCATCATACACGATTATTGTGGAGGAAATAGGAAGAGAAAGGAGTATTAGGTACAGTATGTTCGCCACCTTGTGTTACTTATAAAGTAATAAAAGTGGATTAAAAAGTTAATAAATTTAAAAAAAACATCTAGGTCTACCAACTTTCAAAACCTTTCCTCAAACCTTCCTAATTAAGTAATCCTCAAACTTCCCTAATTAAATAATCCTCAAATCTCCCTAATTAAATAACATTAATTGTAAGAAGGCAAATACACACACACACACACACACACACACACAAATACACACACTTCTTAACACCTATACCTATACCTCTATCATCCATCCATCTATCTATCTATCTATCTATCTATCTATCTATCTATCTATCTATCTATCTATCTATCTATCTATCATCACAGTATATTGTTGACACGTAATGTTGTATGGATAAGGAGATGTTTTGCTTTATTGTTAGGTGGGGGGGGGGTTGCGGGGCGGCGGCTGTATACTGCCCAGAGACACTGGCAGTTTGAGTTAGGCAGCCTTATAAATCTTATAAATAAATGAGATTTTTTTAATACACACACAGAGCTGCAAGAGGGATAAGCAG